AGCCCAGGAGTTGGAAGTTGCTGTGAGCTGTAATGCCACGGCACTCTACCCAGGGGGACAGCTTGAGGCTCCGTCTCAAAAAAAAAAAAAAAAAAGAAAAGAAACTACCCTATAAGATGGTTATCATTAACATCCTCATTTTGCAGGAAACAGTGACTTGGTCAAGGTCACACAGCCAGCCGGACTGCATTTCCAGGCTAGGCTACTGGCTCCAGGGCCAGTGCTGGGACCTGCAGGATGGGATCAAACAACCATCAGGACTGGAGGAGAATATTTTAAACAGAAGAAATAGCACTGGCAAAGACCATGAGGCTGCCTGGGTGGCCAGAATTGGGAATGGAGGAGGGTAGGGTGATAGGAAGCCTGCTACAGGAGGCTGAGGCAGGAGGATTGCTTAAGCTCAAAGAGGCTTGTCTGAGCAAGAGTGAGACCAAAAAAAATTTTTTTCAAAAAAATTTAAAAAACCCGGCGGCTCCTGTAGCTCAAAGGAGTAGGGCACTGGCCCCATATGCCAGAGGCGGCAGGTTCATACCCAGCCCTGGCCAAAAACTGAAAAAAAAAAAAATTAAAACCCCAGCCAGTCACCACGGCAAGCACCTATAATCCCAGCAGCTTCGGAGGCTGAGGCAGCAGGATGCCAACAGCCTGAGTCTGAGGTTGCAGTGAGCTACAACACCATTGCACTCTGCTCAGGGCATAGGGTAGAACTCTGTATCAACAAAAAAAAGAAGAAGAAGAAGAAGAAGAAGCCTGCTGCAATCATTTAGGCAAAGAGGTGGTGGTGGTTTGGAACTCAGGAGGTAGTGCAGGCCGAAAGAAGGTAACAGGTACATGGCATAGTTAGGCCTTGTTAAGGAGATTTTCTCCATTTCCCTGAACACTAGGTTTTACTTCAAAGAGGGAAAAAGCATGGCAGAGGCTGGAATACGGCTGTCTTTTCATATAGCATCTTGGGATTGCAGGCTGGACACAGGAAGGAGGGAGAAACTAGATCACAAGCCCTATGCAATCAGTGACCTGCCTTCTTTTCACCTTGCCCAGAGCCAGTACCATGGGTGTTCAGCAAACATTTAGCATGTTTGTGGAACTCCACCAGCTCCCTAGAGTCAGGGAACCTGTGGAAGCCTGAGGATTGACTCCATGGTCCTGCTGTGAGCACAGGGCCTGCCCTTAATGGATCAGCTCAAAGAAAGAACATAACTTTATTGGGAACTGCTTCTGTTTGTGGAAGGCTACAGAGAGAAAGGGACCTTTTCCCAGAGAAATTCCAAGCCTGTCTAGGAAGAACAATTCATTCCTGTGACCTTGATGTGCTAAGCTAGGAATAAAGGGTGAAATCAAGAGAGGCTGAATGCTGAGGACTCATCTTTGCCAAGGTATCCTCCTGCACTCTCACCACCACCCTGCAAGATGGCTCCCTTGCACCCACATTGCAGGTATGGAGCCAAAGCTCTGAGCTCCTGCTACACAAGCACACAGAAAGTGTGCCCAGTGCCAGCTGAAAACCTGCCTGGCCCTTGAGGCACCCCTCCTGCTTCAAACCTTCAATGCTTCCTATAGCAGGCCTGGCGAGAGGTCACACCAGCTCCCTTCCACTTAGGCAAACCCTATACGTTCAAACCTAGCCTTTCTGTGATACCTCCCCAACCTCCCTCATCAGAAGTGGCCTCTTCTTCCTCTTTAACCCCAGGCCCCTCTTCTCACATGCTGCTCCTTCCTGCAGTCAGCATGGGGGCCAGGGTGCTCACCTGCTAAGCCTCAGACCCAGGTGCACAGAGGTAAATACACAGGTTGCACCTGCTCCTGAGGAACTCACAGCATGATGGGGAGGCATCAAAAAAAATGCCAGAGGGTGGAGAGGGTTTGGTGAGGTGTGGGGGCTCCAAAGAGGGACCTGGCAGAGGCAGGGGAAGGGGCCAGGGATGCAGGTACCCCAGTAGGCAAGAGGACAGGGGAAAAGAAAGCAGCCTCTGCTAAGGCAGGAAACAAATAATGGGCTTTCGCCCCCAACAAGGTCAACTGGGTGCTGGACATTTACGCCCACCACTGAGTTCACCAGCACCACAGAGCAATGCTCAGATGTTCTATTTGATAAGAGTGGAAACTGAAGCCCTGAGAGAAGTGGCTTGGCTACAACACTCAGCTAGGAGGCTGGGCACCAGGAGTTAGACCCCCATGTAGCACATTCAGGTGAAACTCTGCCCAACCAAAGCCTTATTTCCCACATACCCTACCCCCAACCAGTGCTCTAGCCACACCATGTACCCTGCCTTTGCCCAGGCTGCTCTCTTTGCCTGCAATGCCTGCCTCATTCCCTCCCTCAACACTAACTGTGTCCACCTGGCAAGGGCTGTTCATCCTCAAGGGCTCAACTTACCACAGTCACTTGGGTACCCTGAGAGCCTGCTGTGTACCAGACAGGCAACATCTCATTTGAGGTCATAACTGTTATAAGCCCCATTGATCATGACAAAAACTGAGGCTCAAGCTGTTAATCAACCTGTCAGCCATCTGGCTGGTCAGAGAGGCTCAAGTCCAAGTCTGCCCTTGAACTTTGAGGGCCAAACTGAGGTCCTAGGTGGAGCCTCAGATGACTTAAGGATTCCTTCTTTCTCTCCCTCTTCTCTCTTGCCTTCCCTCTTCCTTTTATTTAGTTACTTATTTATTTTTATTGTTTTGGATTCATTGAGAGTACAAAGAATCAGGTTACATAGACTGCATTTCTTAGATAAAGTCCCTCTTACAATTGTGTCCTGCCCTCAAGAGGTGTGACATGCACCAGTGAATCCCCATCTTCCTCCCTCTTCCCTTGCCCCTCTCCCTCATTTCCCTTATTTATTTATTTATTTAAGACAGAGTCTTACTTTATTGCCCTTGGTACAGTGCTGTGGCATCACAGCTCACAGCAACCTCCAACTCCCGGGCTTAGGGGATTCTCTTGCCTCAGCTTCCTGAGTAGCTGGGACTGCAGGCATCCATCACAACACCTGCCTATTTTTTTGTTGGAGTTTGTCTGGGGCTGGTTTGAACCCACCACCCACCACCTATTTGGGGCCGGCATCCTACTCACTGAGCCACAGGCACTGCCCTTATTTTTATTTATTTATTTATTTATTTGGACAGAGTCTTATTTCGTTACCCTTGGTAGAGTACCAGGGCATCATAGCAACCTTAAACTCTTGGGCTCAAGCAGTTCTCTTGCCTCACCCTCCCAAGTAGCTAGGACTACAGGCGCCTGCCACAAAGCCCAGCTATTTTTTTAGAGATGGGGTCTCTGTCTCGCTCTTGCTCAGGCTGGTCTTGAACCTGTGAGTTCAGGCAATCCACCTGCCTCAGCCTCCCAAGTGCTGGGATTACAGGTATGAGCCACTACACCCAGCTATTTGTTTTTTAGTGACAGGTTGGAAAGCAGTGGCATGGTCATAGCTCACTGCAGTCTTGAACTCCTGGTCTCAAATGATCATCCCACCTCAGCCTCCCAAGTAGCTGGGATGACAAGCACAAGCCACCACACCCGGCTCCCCTTCTATTCTCCTTCCTATCTTCTTTCCTCCTCACTTCCTTTCTTCATTCTTTTCCTC